ATTGATTGATTGATTGCCTCCCACATGTGCCCTGACCAGGGCTGAGGATGAACCTGCAACCCAGGTATGTGCCTTTGACTGGGAATCCAACCTGGGACCCTTCCATGTGCCGGCTGACACTAACCACCGAACACACCGGCCAGAGCAGCACACTTTGATTATTTAATAAAATGCCAAGAGTAAAAAACAGTTTTTGTATATTGAAAGTATACCCCTTCTATAAAAATCATACTTATTAACACTCATTTTTTAGTTACAGGGCCTTTAGCTAAATTGAATATTAATATTAAGATGCTGCTAAAAATCAGCATTTCAGTTTAATAGAATGTTAAAACTGTACCTTTTAGATATCTAATATTTTTTATTCTTCTTCTCACTTTTCCAGCGGATCCTCTGGTTGGAAGCATAGCCACTCAGTATTTGACCAACAGAGCAGAACATGACAGGATAGCCAGACAGTGGACCAAGAGATACGCAACATAATTCACGTAATTTGTATGCAGTGTGAAGGCGCAGAAGGCATCTTCTCACTGTGCTGCAAATCTTTATAGCCTTTACAATACGGACTTCTGTGTATATGTTATACTGATTCTACTCTCTGCTTTTATCCTTTGGAGACTGGGAGACTCCCAAAAAGGTAAATGCTATAAAGGGTAGAACTTTGTAGCTGTAGATTAGTTATGTTTAAAATGCCTACTTGCAAGTCTTGCTTCTTTGGGATATCAAAATGTATTTTGTGATGTACTAAGGATACTGGTCCTGAAGTCTACCAAATATTATAGTGCATTTTAGCCTAATTCATTATCTGTATGAAGTTATAAAAGTAGCTGTAGATGACTAGGAATTATGTCATTTGTATTAAACCCAGATCTATTTCTGAGTATGTGGTTAATGCTGTTGTGAAAAATGTTTTACCTTTTACCTTTGTCAGTTTGTAATGAGAGGATTTCCTTTTACCCTTTGTAGCTCAGAGAGCACCTGATGTATCATCTCAAACACAATAAACATGCTCCTGAAGGCATAGCTTCCTGTCGTACTATTTTAAGTCAGTCTTGTTAGAAGGTGTGTCTGAGATGATTGTTGATGAAATAAAATTGCAGATATGAAGATGACTACTAAAGACCAGTACAAATAAAGAAATTATTAAATAGAAAACATGTGGAATCTTATTAAATGTGTATAGTTTTTTTTTCCTTTAAGTCCTACTGAGAGAATATAATGAACTTAAATATGGAAAACTGGATTTTATTTTTTGTTTTTTATTTTTCACCACAGAGATTTTTTCCCATTGATTTTTAGAGAGACTGGGAGGAAGTAGTGGGGGGGAGGGAGGGGGAGAGAGAGAGAGAGAGAGAGAGAGAGAGAGAGAGAGAGAGAGAGAGAGAGAAAGAGAGAGAAAGAGAAACATGCAAGGTAGGAGAGACACATGGATTGATTGCCTCCTGTAGGTGCCCCCAACGGGCTGGGGATAGAACCTGCAACTGAGGTATGTGCCCTTGACTGGGAATTGAACCTGAGATGCTTTAACCATTGAGCCGAACCGGCCAGGGTGGAAAATTGGATTTTAAAGCCTTTGGTCTCAAAAATATATAAAACTTTATTTTGATATGATATTTGAGATAAAAATAAAATGAAATTCTGGCTCACTCAGGAATCTGATATTGTCTTATGGAACATTTCTTTTCCAAATTGGTGATATCTGTTCACCATTGGAAAATATTGTCAAATGACACAATCTGGTCGTTGTTGTATGTCTTGGTGCACTTTTAAATTTTGCTTCTGACCTTGCTCTTGAATGTTTATGGTGTATTATGTGCATTACCATTCTTACTGTGCACTTGGCCAGCAGTTGTAGCCAGAGGCAGAGTTGAACACAGAAACCTTTTTCTGCCTGAAAGTAGATGAGAACTCTGGATTGGTGTGCAGATGTGGCTTTATTTCTCAATTGCAAACATACCAAATTTTAATGGTTTCCCAGGTTATATAAATTCCTTCTTTCTAGTTACAACTGTTAAATATTAGGTTTCTTAAAGAAGTTAGAATTACTTTGCAGTATTTGGATATGGTAAACAGTATAAATGTGCTACTTTTTCCCTGTGACGGATAATTTCTGAGGTAATTCTCTGGTCATAGAACCAAAGTTGTGGAATATGAGGCAAATGTCTTCTCCAGTCCTAAATATGGAAATAGAATACCATCTCAAAATTTATAGAGTGGAATTATTAGCATAAAATATATACCAAGACATTTATAGTTTCCTATCCCCTCACTAAGAATAGTGGTCTCCTATTAACTTGAGTGTCAATAGAAGTATTAAATTAGGGTAAAAATAAAATTATTTGTATGTCTACTTTTCACTCTTCCCTTAAAAAATCTCCCCATATTACAAAGGAATGCCAAACAAAAAGGTAGTATTTTGAAGAATTCAGGCGTAGGCCTATGAAAACCTCTAAGCTTTGACTGTACTAAGTGGTGACCAATAATCTATAATGGAGTCCAAGTCAATGTGATGAAAGTGGGGTCCTTTCCTGTAAACTGCAAGGCTTTCTGTGTAGGTCAGCTCTTGGAAGTAGTTTTCCCCACTCCCAGTATTGTCCATTCTACACCCTGAAGTATTACATTTCTCTCTTGGTGCTAGAAAAGCCTTCGTCGTACTGAATGTTAGGATGTCTGGGGATGCCGTCATTGGACTTCCTTCATTTGCTATCACCTTACTGACTATCACCACCCTATTTTGCTTATTTGTGGGCTGTGTCCTCTACTCACCTGGGACGGAGTGGGGGAATTGGTTCCTTAGAAGTATTTGTGGCTCTTGCACAAACTACCTTGGGAGCCTTGAAATAAGATACTTAAACTTCTTTGAGTTTCAGTTTATTCATATGAAACAAAAGAGTTGAATTTGAATATTTCCATAGTCTCTGTTAACCCTCAAAGTCCTCAGGTAATTCTAACCTTATAAAATTTGTTCTGCTTGTTCTGCTCTCTCTTTCAGGGAACAGGCTACAGCTTTAAATGGACTGAAATAAAAACCAGTCATTTGGTTTACTATGAGGTTCCCTTAAAATTATGAAATTTTTAAAAATCTCTACTTTTGAAAAACTATAAATCCACTTTCCTATTACATAGGTATTCATCCGTGTACACTATAAATAAGGGCTTTTTTCCCCTTGAAACTTTGCTCTAGATATAAATTGTAATATTTCAAAATCTAGACTTTTTCTTTTCCATTAAGAGCAAATTTTACAAGTTAAAGTCCAAATGTAACTTTGTTAAGTATTCAAGGATGGTCATGGCACCATGCATCTCATTGAGCCTAGAGTGTTCTAATTATGATCATACTAGAGGCCCGGTGCATGGATTTGTGCACATTGAAAGGAAATTAATTAGAAGAAATATTTTAGAGGCTGGGGAAGGGACCACAGGAGATGGACCAGCAGGGGAGGGACTACGGGAGGGCTCCCGGGTGTGTCTGGCCCGTCTCGTCCAATCCCTATTGGGGCTGTCTCACCCAGTCCTGATCAGCCAGACCCCAGCAGCAAGCTAACCTACCGGTCGGAGCATCTGCCCCCTGGTGGTCAGTGTGCATCATAGCGACTGGTCAAATGAACGGTCTGATACTTCGCATATTAGGCTTTTATTATATAGGATGTCCTCAGGTACAGCTATGCCAAGTACCACTTAGTTAGGGAAGGGCCCTAGCTCCTTTAATGTCCCCTAAAGAGCTTTAGGAGAGGAGACACTGGTGATCCTCAGTTGACAGCGAAACTGACTCACAAATGGGCTAAATAACTTATTGTCCCAGATTATACAGCCAATATGATGTGCAGGTATAGCCCCTATTCTTTACAACTAGGCTAAGAGTTTTTGTTATAATATCATAGTTAATATTGAATATGTATATATGCAAAGGCAGATACACATAGATTATTGATAACCTATGAAAATTTTTCAGTAAGATAATGTAACAGTTTTCTATTTTAGTAAATCCTTGTTTTAATAGTCTATTTTTAAAGTCTCAAATGGGACCTTGCAAAATAAGACTTGATAGTTTCCAATGAATATGAAGTATGTTTATTTAGCTTCTGCCTTAGACATACATCGGTCATAGAAATACTTTTAACATCACTGATTTCCTTATTTTTAATTCTAAAAAAGAAAAATGATGTTATTTTAAATCTATTTAACTATACATCACATGACATCAGGAAATCTACCTTTTTCACAATAACAAGATGTATTAATTATCTAAACATTGCTTTCTTATTTTGTTTGGCTAGGAAATCTTAAGTAATCACAGGGTTAAAATTGTGAGTTGACCAATGTATATGCTACTCTTTCTAATAATAATGTTGAGGTGTTGTGTACTTGAACTGAGTCCACTAACTTGCCCAAGTGTATTCTTATGTATATAAATAAAAGCCTAAGTGACCATCCGACCAGTAGCTATGATGCTCAGCATCAGACCAGTAGCTATGATGCTCAGTGTCCACCAGGGGGCAGATACTCCGACCAGTAGCTATGACACGCAATGACCACCAGGGGGCAGATGCTCAATGCAGGAGCTGCCAAGGTGCGGTGACTTGGCAGCTGCAGTTCTCGGGTATCACACCCAGAACCAAAGAGGAGGGAACCTAATTCTGGGGTGCGTCACCTGAGAACCTCCCTCTTGCAATCTGGGACCCCTCGGGGGATGTCGGAGAGCCAGTTTCAGCCCGATTCCCGCAGGCCAGGCCGAGGGACCCCACCGGTGCACGAATCCGTGCACCAGGC